CGTAACTACCCCGTCCGCCTCTACATCCTTCCAGCTCCGAGCAAGGTTAGAATTCCTCGCAAGTCGCATCGCACGTACCACACTCCATCTCGCTTTTGCTCTCTTGTCACGTACATAATCGCATTCTCTCTCTCTCTCTCTCTCTCTCTTTCTCTTTCTCTTTCTCTACATATCTATCTTCGTTGCTGTTCCTCTGCGATATAGCTTGATGATCTAATTTCGTCCCAGTTTCTCCCACTTTGACAAATCTTTCCTCTTGTGTTAGGAAACTCAATATCCTAATCGGCATAACTTTGGCGAGTTCGTACTGAAATTATTTCCGGTTGTTGAAAAAATTGATTTTTTATGCATATGGCGCGAAGAATCGGTCTTGTTGAAATCCTGTCAGTTTCGATCATTTCTTTAAATTATACATCGTTCCTAACAGATCTCATCGAAAATCGCTGGTGCGCGGCTCTATAGCAGCAAGGTACACAAATGCACCTTGATCCCTGGAGATGGCATTGGACCCGAGATTTCCGCTGCCGTGCAGAAGATCTTCGATGCCGCCAAGGTGAGATATATTTGCATTTTGGCCAATACGACGAGACCGACCACTTTCTAACAACTGTTCGCATGTACTTGATTTATAAAATATAAACTCTCTTTGCTTGTCTTGTTTCAATACTAATTTCAAAAGAATTATTGTAATCTTACTGTTTTTACAAGTTGATTGTAAATTAATTAAATGTACTTTAGTAACTCTCGATAGATAAAAAATTTAATAAATTCTTTTTTGATTATACGTTTGTAAAATTCAGATCTGTCAAGTTTTAAATCCAAACATCTCCTCCTTTCTCTCTCTCCCTCCTCTCTTTTTTCTCCCTCTTTGTTATTGAATAAAATAATGAGAAAGTAATATTGAAGTAATATTATAAGTTATCAACAATATTCTATTAGTTATAGACAAGGTTTCTCCATTTGATAAATTTGGACAAATCTGATAGAAAAAAATTTTCTGTTATAACTGGAATATTTAAAATAATGATATGGAGATATATGTTATTTACTTCTCTTTTCTCTCTATCAAAATTTCAAGTTGAGAGAGGATGTCTTCTATCAATTAAAAATATTTTTCTTCATCATTGATTAGCTTATGGCAATCAGAAAGCTTAAATTACGTAATATGATTACCCAATTTATGTCTCTTTTAACAATGTACACATTTGATGTTCTTATCTAGACTTGTTGATATAAATATATGCACTTTTAATACAACAGAAATTTATCTTGTATAACAATTTTTTCTATATTTGAAAAAATCTAGGTGCCAATAGAATGGGAATCAGTTGACGTAACACCAGTAAAAGGTCCAGATGGCAAGTTCGGTATACCTCAAGCAGCTGTCGACTCTGTCAATAGGAATAAAATTGGCCTCAAGGGGCCCTTAATGACTCCAATAGGAAAAGGTCACAGATCTCTCAATCTTGCACTCAGAAAGTAAGTCGATAATATAATCAACTATAATTTAAATTAATATTAATTTAAATTAAATTTTCGAGAATATCAAGTTTTTATAACAGCACAACTGTTTTAAGTAATGCACAGACAGTTATATAATCATAATGTCATGATAAGTACGGACGATTACTCCCAATATTTCCACTGCATCTCTCGTAAAATAAAATACGTATTTTACTTATCTATTTGCAAATATTTGCAGGGAATTTAACTTGTATGCTAATGTACGACCGTGTCGATCCTTGGAGGGGTACAAAACACTGTACGATAATGTTGATGTTGTTACTATTAGAGAAAATACGGAAGGTGAATATTCAGGTATAGAGCACGAGATTGTAGAAGGCGTTGTACAATCTATCAAGTTAATTACAGAGGAGGCCTCTCGTAGGGTAGCAGAATTTGCTTTCCAATATGCCACAGATAATAATAGGAAAAAGGTATATTTGAGACATTCGCAAACAGTGAAACATTGTGGTAAAGATTTGATTAATCAAATTGAGTAAAAAAATTTATTTGTAGGTTACTGCTGTACATAAAGCGAATATTATGAGAATGTCGGATGGCTTGTTCTTGAGATGTTGTCGAGAAGCCGCGCAAAAATTTCCATCTGTCAAATTCGAGGAGAGGTATTTGGATACAGTTTGCCTAAATATGGTGCAAGATCCAAGTCAATACGACGTGCTCGTCATGCCTAATTTGTACGGTGATATTTTATCCGACATGTGCGCTGGTCTTGTCGGAGGCCTCGGTTTGACGCCAAGCGGAAATATTGGTCTGAACGGAGCCTTGTTCGAATCGGTATATTATTACGCGAATAGCAACTTTACATTAACTTTATATTAATTATATTTTACATGACAAGAATCAACAATTATGTTTATACAGGTACATGGAACGGCGCCTGATATTGCTGGCCAAGATAAGGCAAACCCCACGGCGTTATTGCTCTCCGCAGTTATGATGCTCAAATATATGGGTTTGAACAACCATGCAAAGATCATCGAGCAGGCTGCTTACGATACTATTAAAGAAGCAAAATATTTGACCGGTGATTTAGGCGGTACTGCAAAATGCAGTGAATATACCAACGAAATTTGTAAGAAAGTTTCTGCGCAAACCAAATAAAAGGCAGACATTGTTGATTGAAATTTCAACTGCCAAATACTCGTAGAATTCCTGTGTCCACGATAAGGGGACCGGGTCCGCTATTTTTTACCATCTATCGCATCACACCATTTTGTGTGTGTATCACTATAAATCTGCGGAATCGATAACTCGCGTTGTTGAATATTCTCCCAATCGTCCACATGCATTGGTAGCTTTCCTTTCTTTTTAGATATACTTTCAATTTAACTTGTGTAACGTGACTCGATTTCAATGATTCATCAAATACAGAACGGCATTTGATTTCGTTTTCCATAAAACGCTCGTATGCCGTCTGTACCGTATGTGTCGATTGCATCGACTAAACATATATGTGTACAACTGTTGTGACGTATTATCTAATTCAATGTTAGGATTTATTTTAAAATTGATACATGTTGGTATTCACTCTATTACCTTCTTATTTTTCACTCTCTAGCAGCTTTTTCCTAATAGTTGATCTCAGCAATAAAGCTAGTCTGTAATTTTTTTTTATTAGAAGTTTTGACGTGTATATATGCACACTTATATATGTGTATAAAATTTTATTTTTATACATACATATATATGTATGTATTTTTAATAATTATAAAAAATATTAAAATATTAAAATTATATATATGATTTTTTATAATATATTTTTTTTAAATAAACTTGTCGAGAACTTGTAATAATCTTATGTTCTAAGATCGATCGTAGCACGTTACGAAAAGATAGTTACGAAGTGAAAAGTAGGAAAGGTGATAGATGTGAATTCAACACGTATCAGTTTCAAACCCAAACCATAAATCTTGAACAGCATTGATCTAATATTGATAAATGATTCAGAGAAAAAGATCTTGGTAGAAATTGTAAAGATTAGCCATGTAAAAATAGTAGGAATCCTGTATCATAATTTTAAATAAAATATTGTTATGCGACACGTATGTCTTATAGTAAGATTAAGAATAGTTCAAGATATTGAAATCGCGCAGTATTACGGAAGAATAAACGTTTACAAAATTGACATACCTATTTTATTCTCTATCACAAATTTCGATCCTTGTATAAAGATTAACATTTTTAATATTAATTGACATCGTTTCTCGCAGATAAGTTTTCAGAAATTATAAATTATTTTTGATATCAAATCTCAATTACGTAGAAGTATATTTATACATTTAATAACTTTTACTTTGTACATACATTTTCCCTTAATTTTATTTAACGTTTTAACTCGTAGAACATCGTACATTTGTACATTTTAATATAACGATGTAAATAATTTTCAAAGAGGGACAGTCATGAAGGAAAATGATAATTTCTGTAGAGTTCTCTCGATCGCTCTTTATACCAACATGACGAAAAGTATCGCTCTTTTCCTCCCTTGGTAGTGTTACGTTATAGCACTCATCTCGCGATCACTTGATAACTTCCCCCTACTCTCGCGTCGTTCTCCAGTACGATATGGTACGGTGGGATGCGCCGCTCAGGAAAACTCTCAAGTATGAGAAAAGTTGTCGGCCATATTTCACCGGCGGGGCTGGAAACGGCGAAGGAAAAGGACGAGACGAGGAGGGGACCAAGTGTCATCTTCGCCGCTCGTTAATTCCTTCTGTGATTTATCGCGATCCACCGAGTGAGTAATGACTAACTTCTCCGTTCAAAAATTCAGATATTAGATTTTCCTTTAGACGAAGATGTCGCGTCGCTTTTCGATATGGTGTTTGTATTACGCTGAAAAAAATCTTATAATTGCGCACATTGATGGATCGTGACGAAACTCACTCGATTCATTCATATTTCCAATTTTAAAAGATAAGATGTGCGAGGTCAAATTAGAATTTTATAATGAATTTCTTGGCGGTGCCGCGCACAATGATGTCGCGTCTTTTCGTTCGACGAGATATCTATGTATTTTATATATCTAAAAATATATAAATATCGGTATCGAATCCCAAATCCCGCACGATGTACGATGTGACGTTAAACGCGTCAAAATGTTGCATGATTTTAAATCTGGCAAGTCAATCGATATCGGCAAGATTGATTGATTGAAAGTGACATTCGTGACATTACGCTCTTGTCTGCAGGATGTAACGGTGATGCTAACGAGTATGTAGCGCGAGGTAGCGCGAGTAGCATGCAAGAAGCGCAATGTGCATAGGCGGGGTAGTTGCCGCACAAAGGTCCGACACTCCCGGCCAAGTGTGGAAAGCACGGCGCATGCATATTCAACGGGGCACACGAGGCAGCGAGGAGCAAGGCGGAATGTGTGTGTATGTGCTTGCGTATGTGTGCCACCGTATAGTCATAGGAATAATAAAAATTCGAGGGTTGAAATTATTTAGATTTATGCCCGTTCTCTTGTCGTCGTACCGTCGCGCCGGTGACGAGGCGCGATTCGATTCCGGGGAACAAATTTCATGCATTATTCAGAACCCGGGTTCGGCCGATGCAACCACCTCGGTCGCAATGGAAGCGATCCTCCCGAAAAAAAAAGTCGTTTTTAATCTCTCGTCGCGCCCCAATAACGCGCGTGTCCCTCTCATTCCCTTTAAGAAGCAAAAGACGCGAACCGTTTTACGCGGAACGTGCAGATTCGACATACGAAAGAAAGACGACGATCTCAAGCAAGGTATGCATTTTTTCGCGAAATTTACAAGAGAAGAGAGTTTAAGAATCCTGAGTGCACTGAGAATGCACTCTGTATTGAAATGTACGATCACGTTCGTTTAATTCGCGCATAAGTCGTCGATTGACGTTATCAACCTGGCGTTGAATCAACCACCGACGTACCGTATTTCTTTTTAAAGTACATGATCTATAATGACGAATCATTTTCCTTCGATTAATATTTCTCTCGTTTGGAATAATTTACAAGAGAGAGAAAGAGAGAAAGAGAGAGAGAGAGAGAGAGAGAGAGAGAGAGAGAGAGAGAGAGAGAGAGAGAGAGAGAGAGAGAGAGAGAGACGAGAGAGAGAGAGAGACGAGACGACGACGACGACGTACGACGTACGTACGTACGTACGTACGTACGTACGTACGTACGTACGTACGTACGTACGTACGTACGTACGTACGTACGTACGTACGTACGTACGTACGTACGTACGTACGTACGTACGTACGTACGTACGTACG